TTAGCCTGCCTAGAGGCTTTTTAGGGGGATTAATAGATAGCATAATGCAAATAATATTATAATAGTTAATAATTAAAAGGCTTCTACTGCCTGTTAACACTTTTAAATTCTAAAACTGCCTAAATCTAGTTAGCGTAGTAACAGCACGCCCCTTATCACATTATCTAGTGCGCTAACGCTTACACCCCTTGCCTAAATAGCAGGCTGTAATAGCTTAGCGCAGCAGGCAAATGCCTAATAACATAGTAAATTTAATAAGAAGAAAGAATAATCTTCTTGCTGTTAGATAAAGTTTAGCAGTACTTAACTAACTTGCGTATAGTCTAAAGGCAGGGCTATTAATATCCTAGCATGGCGCTACTATGTCTTACTCTGTTAGAGGGGGGGCCTAGGAAAAGGTTACTGCAACCTTTTTCTAAACCACCCCTTCTCTAATTATCCTAGCTGCGTACTACAGTTTGCAGAGATATACTGTAGTTTGCAGCAATATGCTTCTACTCACGCTGCTAGTTAATCCTAGCTAACAATGTTAGGCACTAGCCTATTACACAGGCATTCTATCTACGCCCACGTTCTAGGTATAGTATTCTATGCAATTACGTCACCCTAACAAGCGGCCCTAGCGCGAAATACAGCATATTGTTGTTTTTACAGCCACAGATAAAGACTGTCTAATTTCGCGAAAAGCCTTAATGCAGCTAGCTGTCACAATTGTGCACGAGTAAGGTTATAGAGCTCCACGGAAGTCTAGTTCAATTACTATGTAAGGTATCATAGTAGGTACAAGACGTTGTGTGAGGAACAGAAAGGTTTAGAAGGAAGTTAGCAATTAAATACTTAGCTTAGAAGTCTAAGCACTTTAGGTATAAATTAAGCCTGTTCTAGGTTTAGTTAGTGTTAAGGCGGTTTGTGCTTAAGTTTATGTCTGTGTTGTGTCGTGTTTGTGTCAAACGTGTACTAATAATACTCTAGTACGCGTCCGATACGGTTATGTCTGGGATACGGGGAGGATACTGTGACAGTAGCACGCCTTACTAAGTGCGCAATGCTATTCCCGACTACCTACCATACGTATGCATACTATATTACGGAATCTAGCTTGCAGGGCCTTTGCAAAACGTTTCTGTCTATTATCTATGTACTACTGACCGCTGGAGGTGGGTGCTGTTCAATTCCACTAAAAACCTAAATGCGTCAAGCGCTTAATGCCAGCTAAGTACCATAATGCTATTCCTAACTACCCACAAACCATACGTATGCATACTATATTACAGAATCTAGCCTGCAGAGCCTTTGCGAAACGGTTCTGTCTATTATCTACGTACTACTAA